TCTCTCTCTCTCTCTCTCTCTCTCTCTCTCTCTCTCTCTCTCTCTCTCTCTCTCCTGGTTTGGCTTCCAGATTTTTTTGGGGGGGTCAGGGAAATCAATCCATCGGTCAGAATAGAGCTGGAGGGGACCTCGGAGGTCTTCTAGACTAACCCCCTCCGCTCATGCAGGAGACCCCAGACATTTTAATTAATCAGGATAGAGCTGGAAGGGGCTTATTTCCATCCCCCTGCTGATCTGGTCTTCTGTTCTTTTGGATAGATTTGGGGATTTTTTTTCGAATAACTCCCGGCGTGGGTGTCTTTAAAATTCACCAAAATAATCCTTTAAAAACTGGACTGGGGAGGGGACTTGTTTATTTCTATTTTATTTCTATACCTCCCGTCACCTTGGCATACGTAGTTTAGGGCCGTTATTCACACTTACGACCGTTGCAGCCGACTTATGACAGTTGCGGCATTCCAGGGCTCCCGTGATCCGTTTTGCGACCTCCTGAGAAAGTCAACTGGGAAAGTGGGGGGGGTTCGCTTAACAACCTTGCATGAGTCACTTAAGGACTGCAGGGATTCGATGGACAACTGCAGCCAGGCTCGCTTAACAACCTTGCGTGACTCACTTAAGGACTGCAGGGATTCAATGGACAACTGCAGCCCAAAAAAGTGGTGGGGGGCGGGAAGCTCGCTTTACAACCTGCCTCGCTTAGCAATGGAAATTTTGTGGTTGTAAGGCGAGGACTGCCCATAGGGACTCTTGCCGCTTTGCGCTCTGCGCGTGACCCAATGGTTGCCTTGCCTTGCAGTTCACATCCAAACGTCTCGGGCCCTGATGGTGGTCTCCATCCTCCTGGGCTTCGTGGGGACGGTGGTCAGCGTGGTTGGCATGAAGTGTACGAAGGTGGCGGACCAGAACCCCGTGGCTAAAAGCTGGATCGCGGTTTTAGGCGGCGTCTTTTTCCTGCTGGCTGGTAAGGAAAAATGGGGAAGAGCTTCCGCCCCCCCCCGCAAAAAAGATACCCAGCCTGAAAATTAATTGGAGGAAGAAATAAAGACGGGAAATGAAAGAGAGAGAGAGAAAGAGGGGGAAAGAAGGGAAGAAGAAAAAGGAAAAAGGGAGGGAGGGAAGAAAGGAGAAGGAACAGGAAAGAAGGGGGGGGAAAAGGAGGGAGCGGAATGGAAAGGAAGGGAGGAAAGGAGAAGGAACAGGGAAGGGGGGAGAGAAAAGGAGGAGAAGGAAAGGAAGAAGGAAAGGTAGAGAAGGAGGGAAGGAAGGAAGGAAGGAAGAGGAAGTGAGGAATATAGCAAGGGAAGGGAAGGAAGAAGAGGGAGGGGGAAGAGGCAGGAAAGGAAAAAAACAGAATATGTTGATCTCGTGTTTCTACTCTCCGCTGGTCAAGGGCCAAAATAAAGATATTATGGAATTCTGTGAAGGAGGGAGGGCCGGTGGCCACGTCCTGGTCAGGGGTGAGGGTGAAACAGGGAACAAAATTCCTCTTGTGGGAGTGTTTGGAGGAATTGTGCTGCTGGAAGGAGAGGGAGGGAGGGACGGAGGGAGGGAGGGAGAGAAGGAAGGAAGGAAGGAAGGAAGGAAGGAAGGAAGGAAGGAAGGAAGGAAGGAAAGGGAAGATGGAAATGTAAGAAGAAAAGAGGAAGGAAGGAAGAACAAAGAAAGAAAGCTAAGTAAAACATGCCATAAAAAAAGGAAAAGAATAAAAGAGGAAGGAAGGAAGGAAGCGAAAGAAGTGAAGGGAGGAAGGAAGGAACGAAGAAAAGGAACGAAGGAAGGAAGAACAAATAAAGGTAAGTAAAACATGCCAAAAAAAGAAAAAGAATAAAAGAGCAGGAAAGAAAGAAAGAAGGAAGGAAGGAAGGAAGGAAGGAAGGAAGGAAGGAAGGAAGGAAGGAAGGAAGGAAGGAAGGAAGTGAAGGAAGGAAGGGGAAGAAAGAAGAACAAAGGAACAAAAGAAGGAGAGAAAGCAGGAGGAAGGGAGGAAGAAATATGGAAGTGGGCGCTGAGCTGTAAAATGGGCCAAAAATCCCTTAAGAAGTGTTTCACTTAGCAACGTCAAGCTTGGCCATAACTAGAAGACTACCTGTCATTTCCCCCTGGCTGACCCTATTTATTTATGTATTCGTTTTCTCTCTTTCAGGGCTGTGCACAGCCGGGGCCGTTTCGTGGTACGCATCCCGGGTGACCCACGACTTTTTCAACCCCAGCACCCCCTTGAATGCCAAGTGAGTAGGGGAGTCCCCTTGAGGTCATCAATCCGGATCACATGTCCCACCCGTCTCCCAAATTTCGAATTTCAGCGCCCCAGGTTTCTTTTTTAAAAAAATTAAAATACCGCCAAGACAAAAAATAAATTGATTTTTCCTCCATCTCAAAACACTCTTTAAAAATCATATTTTCCGGAAAGTTAAACGAATCTGAAAAACGACGGGGGGATTTCGAAGGCTGGTTTGGAAAAACCCAGCCAAAAAGCCACCATTTCACTCCCCTGAGTAGAGCCTCCATCGTCAAGAGCGGGTTAGCTCTGCTGTGGTAGGAAGGAAGGAAGGAAGGAAAGGAGGGAGGGAAGGAAGGAAGAAAGGAAAAAGAATAGCAGAATAATAGAATAATAGAGTTTGAAGGGATCTTTGGAGGTTTCTAGTCCAACCCCCGGCCTAGGCAGGATAACCCTACACCCCTTCAGACAATGGGTTATCCAACATCTTTTTAAAAACCTTCCAGTGTTGGAGCATTCACAGCTACTGGAGTCAAGTCAAACACGCCATCCAAATCCGCCTGGGATAACTAACCAGCATTGGTTAAGGATCCCGGTTAGAACCTGGTTCCGTTCTTCTTAACGACATTTGGCTTTCTTCCAGGTACGAATTCGGACCGGCTCTCTTTGTGGGCTGGTCGGCGGCCAGTTTGCTGATCCTAGGGGGCAGCTTCCTGGCCTGCTCCTGCCCCAAACCGGAAGACAGGAGGGGGCAGCAATATTACCGACAATCGCAACCTCCGACAACCGCCACGAGAGAGTACGTCTAAGCTTCCCTTCGGTTTGGATCTCTTCCGGGTGACGAGACTGGAGAAACGTGTGCCGTTCTCGACGCTGGGTGGGGGGTCAGGCTAGATGGCCTCTGGGGTCGCCCTTCCCATTCTACAAAATCTCAGGGTTGCTTTTTTGTTTTTGGCATAGGAGGGAGGGAGGGAGGGAGGGGGGCGGCCTCCCCAATTCATACACTCCTCTTTTTTAAAAATAAAATAAAATAAATTGCAGCGTGGGGTGTCCCCAAAATGAAATCTCCCACGCACGGCCGGACAAACACACACACACACACACACAAACACACAAACACACAGCTTTCCTTGCATTGATAGTTGTTTGTTTGTTGTTGTTTTTTTCCCCTTTTCAGACTCCCCGTCAAAAGAGATAATCACCAATGTGTATAGACACCTTCCGACAAGGGAAGCCCAAAGGAGGCTTGAAATAATTTTTTTTTTTTTTTTAAATGATAAGAATAATGATAATAATAGTCCAGTTTTCCAACATTCAGGCCGTCTCGTTTGGGGAAAGCGAAAGGAAGAAAAGAAAACGCCCCATTTGGGTAGAATTAAAGCCGCTTTTTAACATTATTATTGCTGTTATTATTGGTAATTTTTTTTGGCGCCTGGTTCTGCTTTTGACAAGATGATGTTCTCCCGTTTTGTAAAATAAATCAGTACATAAATTCTTGTATTCTGTTTGCTTTGTGCTACATTAGGGTCCCCTCGTTGAACAGTGGGGGTCGGACTAGATGACCTCCGAGGTCCCTTCCAGCTCTATTCTGATTGATTGATTGATTAACATAACATAAGCTCACTTGCTTGAGCAGGGGGTCGGACTAGATGACCTCCGAGGTCCCTTCCAGCTCTATTCTGATTGATTGATTGATTGACATAATATAAACTCACTTGCTTGAGCAGGGGGTCAGACTAGATGACCTCCGGGGTCCCTTCCAAGTCCGTTATTCTATTTCAGTAGCAGAAACCCCTGAATCAGCAATTCCGGCTCTTCAAAGTTGATTGTTCAATTCAACCTCCTTTTTTTTCTTAATTTTTGGGGGGGAGAAATGGGGAGGGAACCGGACACACTTACGGGAAAGACTCATTAATCTAATTAATCTAATTTTTCTGCACAAATTGATGCTGCGAAGGAAACAGCTGGTGTGGAATGTCCTCCGGCGGCTATTTTTCGGCATCCAGCTGGGATTTTGCCGAGTTTTTCCTCTCCGAAAGGGGGGAAAAAAAGGGGGTGGGGAAATTCTGCAAGAGTGAAGCTCAGCTCTTCGGTTTGGTATCTCCAAAGCTGTTCTTGCGCACCGAAGCGTCATAATGTAGAACTTTTAAATTGGGGAAAAAAGGGATGGAAATATTCGCAATCGGCCGATGGATATTGTTTGGAGGCCCTCTTCCAAGATACAGGCGGTCCTCGACTTACCACAGTCCGTTTAGTGACCGGTCAAAGTTGCAACGGCACTGGAAAAAAAAGTGACTTGGGACCACGTCTCACACTTACGACCGTTGCGGCATTCCCCCTGTGGTCACGTGATCCAAATTCAGACGCTTGGTGTGCGACTCCTGTTTACGGCGGTTGCAGTGTCCCTGGGGGCCCCGTTTTGTGACCTTCTGACAAGCAAAGTCACTAAACAAGTTGCAGGCTGAGGACATTTGTATTGATTTAGCTTTTTCTCTTTTTCATTCTAATTTTTAATAGCGGGAAGGAAGGAAGGAAGGAAGGAAGGAAGGAAGGAAGGAAGGAAGGAAGGAGAGAGATAGAAGGGGAGGGTGGAAAAGGAAGGAAGGGGAAGGAGGGAGGGAGGAAAGAGAAAGGAAGGAAGGAAAGAGAAAAGAAGGAAGGAGGGAGATAGATGGGGAGAGTAGAAAAGGAAGAAAGGAAGGGTAAAGATGGAGGTTGGAAGGTAGGAAAAATGAAGGAGGAAGGAAGGAAAGAGAAAAGGAAAGAAGGAGATTTTGGGGAGGGTAGAAAAGGAAGGGAAGGAAGGGAAAGGAGGGAGGAAAGAGAGGAAGGAAGGAAAGAAAAGGAAGAAAGGAAATAGAAGGGGAGGGTAGAAAAAGAAGGGGAAGGAGGGAGGGCAGAAGGAAAGGAAAATGAAAGGGGGAGGAGGGAGGGAGGGAGGATGGAAAGAGAAAGGAAGGAAGGAAAGAGGGAGGAAGGAGGGTAGAAAAGGAGAGAAGGAAGGAAGGAGAGAGGGAAGGGAATGAGAGAGTAGAAGAAGGAAGGAGAGAAGGGAAGGGAAGGGAAGGGGAGAGTAAGGAAGGAAGGAAGCAAGGAAGCAAAGAAGGAAAAAGATTTGCAGCCAATCACACATTTGCTCTTCAATATCCTCCACTTTTTTTCTTTTCTTTTGGAGACAAATTAACTGGAATTATTAATAAACACACACACCCGCTTTCGCCTTCAAAGAATGACAGCTGGAACAACCACCGAGCTGAGTTTTTGGTTTTTTTTTTAACCTTCCCCGCCAGGTTTTTGAAGATGTCGACGGGCCCCCTTGGTGCTCCCTGACCCATAAGGCTTTTAATTGCCAGAAAGCCGTCACCCGTCAAACCCCAAAGCTGGACCGACATTAAAAAAGCAACGTTTAACCCTCCCCATTCGAATCATGCTCGATCACGGGAGAAGGGAGTGGATTTGTGAAATAAAGGCAGGTTTATTTATTTTATTTTTTCCAGCCTGTTTTTCCTGGCTCAGATCTTACTCCTGACTCATAAAATATTGCATTTGATTGACCCCCCAAGTTGATGGGGGCATGGTCTCCAGGTAGCTTTGCCTTCACAAACCAGAGCGCCTTCTTGGACCATCCCGTCCATCCATTGTCCAGGTAAAATTCCATTTTTCAGCAGGAAAAAATCCATTTTTCATCACGTAAAATTCTTCGGCAGGTAAAATAGATAGATAGATAGATAGAT